AGTTGGGCCGATTACTCGCGGCTTACTCGAGGTTAGAGGGGTACATTGTCGAAGGATAGGAAAAGGGGAGGAGCTTAGGGTAGGGTTTCGTTGTCTCATCAAAGCGATGTCGCCAGTATGAATGGTAGTGTGGTTCTAGATTCGCCTGGAGTTCGACCGGCTATGCTGACCAGTGGGCGACGATGAGACTCATCGAGACGGGGGGACAAGACAAACAAAAACTATTAAAGAAAGACAAAAGACAAACGAATTAAATTCTTATACTAGACATTTGCAGAAACACATAAATCGACTGCATATAGCAGAGATCGCGGGTACCCAACACGTCTCTGATAGGAATATAGGGTTGTCTTCCTTGGGGTATTCAAAAGTCGCTCTCTGGCGGCGTCATTATCCGTACATTGCCAAACTACGTGATCGATGTCGTCGTAACCGTTTCCACACCGACATATGTTGCTGTCCACGAGGTTTATTCTATTGAGATGCGCATCTAGCGAGTAGTGGTTGGACATAAGTCTACTCATCACGCGAATGAAGTCACGACTTCAGCCCAAGCCTTTAAACCACGCTCTCGAAGAAACATTAGGAATAATTGAATGTAACGACCGTCCAAGATTTCCATTGTCCCAATCGGTTTGCCAACTCGAAAGTGTACTCTGACGCACTAAATGGTAAAATTCATCGTGTGAAATTTGCCTGTCATAAAATTCGCCTTCCTGCGCGCCCACCTTTGCGAGAGAGTCCGCCTTCTCATTGCCTGGGATTGAGCAATGTGAGGGAACCCATACAAAGGTAATCATATATGATCTTTCGACCAGCACACTCATCTGCTCCCTTACCTTTGAAAGGAAATAAGATGAGTGCCTACTTGGTTTCATCGACCGAATAGCCTCAATAGAACTGAGACTATCCGAGAAGATGAAGTAATGGTCTGCGGGCATGTTGGAAATCATCCCCAAAGCGAAGTTGATTGCTGCCAGCTCAGCAACATAAACGGAACAAGGTTCCTGAAGTTTGCGGAAGGCGCTAGAGTTTTCATTGAAGACACCGAAGCCAGTGGATCCACTGAGACGAGATCCGTCTGTAAAATATCTGTTCACGCAATTGACGTGTTGGTACTTTTCAGTAAAAATACGTGGGATAATAATAGTTCGAAGTTGATCTGGAATCCCGTGAATCACTTGTTTCATGGACAGATCATATTCAATTGAGGAACTGCGATTGGTGAAGTGAGCACGGTCTGGAGTATAACAAGGAAGACACATATCCGAGGATATGTAGTGGTGGTAGATTCTCATAAATCGAGATTGTGTGTTCAGCTCAAAAATTTCTTCAAAATTTGCAATTATAAGTGTGTTCGTCTCTCCGCATTTGATTAGTATTCTGAGAGAGAGCTTCCAGAAACGGTTCTGGAGGGGTTTTACTCCTGCCAGAACCTCGAGACTCATGTTATGCGTTGAGTGCATACAGCCAAGGGCAATACGCAGACAACGATATTGAATTCGTTCCAATTTTATTAGGTGGCATTTTCTTGCCGAGAGAAAGCAGAAATAGCCGTACTCTAGAACAGAGAGAATTGTTGTTTTATAAAGCGTTATGAGGTCTCCCGGATGAGCACCCCACCATGTGCCGCAAATTGAACGGAGAAAGTTGATCCTCTGCTGACATTTTTGCTTCAAATACGTAATATGGGTATTCTTAGTGCACTTTGAATCAAACCAGACTCCAAGGTACTTGAAAGACAATGATTGAGTAATGTTTCTGCCCAAAAGATTAAGCTGCATTTGGGCTGGGTACCGCTTTCGAGTAAACACTACCAGTTCAGTTTTCTGCGGCGAGAATTCGATCCCTAGATTCCTAGCCCAAGAAGACAAGTTATCTAAGGAACTTTGCAATGGTCCTTGCAAGTCCACGGCATGTGGACCTCTTACGGAAACCACACCGTCATCTGCAAGTTGTCTTAGCGTGCATTGTTCTGCCAAACAGTTGTCGATATCTTTGACATAAAAGTTATAAAGAAGAGGGCTGAGACATGAGCCTTGGGGCAGACCCATGTAGCTAATTCTGGAAGTTGTCAGTTGTCCAAGGGAAAAGTTCATTTGCTTTTCTGACAACAAATTGTACAAGAAATTATTTAAAATTCCAGAAAGTCCACATCTGTGCAGATTGTCTGATAGAATTTCAATTGAAACTGAATCAAAAGCCCCCTTAATGTCCAAGAATACTGAAGCCAATTGCTCCTTGTGCGCAAAGGCCAGTTGAATATCTGTGGAAAGCAGCGCTAGACAATCGTTTGTTCCTTTGCTCTTGCGGAACCCAAACTGTGTACATATTTGATAGCAAGTTATTTGTTTCGACCCACTGATCGAGTCTCCGAAGGATCATTTTCTCCAACAATTTCCTAATGCACGAAAGCATCGCAATCGGACGGTATGAGTTATGGTCAGACGCTGGTTTGCCAGGTTTTCGAATGGCTATTACTTTGACCTGTCTCCATTCAGGCGGTATAATGTTGTTTTCTAGTAAGGAATTGAATAAGTCTAGCAAGCGTCTTTTAGCGATATCTGGGAGATTTTCAGAAGATTGAATTTAATCATATCGCTTCCCGGTGAGGAATTGTTCGATGAAAGAAGAGCCATAGAGAATTCCAGCATTGTGAATGGTCTATCCAGAGAGCTGCCGCTCGGAGACGCTTCTCGAAGAATATTTTGTGCTGGAACTGAGTCCGGACAGACCTTTTTAGCGAAATCGAATATCCATCGGTTGGAGTATTCTTCACTCTCATTGAAAGATGAGCGGTTACGCATGTTGCGAGCCACCCTCCACAAGGTGTTCATTGAGGTTTCTCGTGAGAGTCCCTCGACGAAATTGCGCCAATAACTGCGTTTCTTTTCTTTGACTAATTGTTTCAGCTTTGTCTCAAGCTTTGAATATTCCTCGAAGTATGTGGAGGTTTTGTGTTTGTTTCCCACTACTATGAGATGTATAGGGCAGATAATTGAAATATAGATACAGTTGAATTTGATAACCTAAACAAGTCTCGCGTACTTTATCCATCCGACCCGAAATCAGTAGTTCTCCCGGTGCTCACAGAATCAGGGGTATAAGAGCTATTATGATGACTGTATCGACCCTTATTCCGCAATACAATCAAATCTAAGCAATCTAATCGTAAAGCAATACAATGAAATCTAATAATTGAGCTATAAAACATTTATAAGACGCATAATACAGCATTTTATTAAATAAATTGAAAACGGTCGAATTAAAGCGTCATTGCATGTGCAAATTACTCTTCTTCGGATTGTTATTAGATCAAACTACTGGTTCTGAATCAGGAAGACAGTCAACGTTTATAAAGCTTTTAATAAGTAAATTAATCATATGAGAGAAAACAGCGGAATAATGGCGCATCTATCGATATCAATGAGCTTTTTTCAGCACATATTTCGCCATCCTGTTTTATTCAGCATTGTACTCTGAAATACAGCATTTATTCAATATGTATTCTTATTTATGACTTTGAATTGTTTGTTGGGAATAGTACTATACTGCCTATAAGACATCTTTTTCATGTAAACTTTTTGCCAAGGTAAAAATTTGTAAACCAATTCTTTATCATTTAACATGGAATTTTTCATGATTCTCATAAACATCATGTATATTAAGATGAATTACATGTAACCTTACTTGAAAAGATTGTAAATTTACGTGTTTTAAGTAGTTACATACCAAAAGCTGTAAATTTTTACATAACTATGCTATGCACTATCAATTGGCATCTACATATTATGTGATAATACTACGGACTTTGATCATGAAAAATGTGAAAATAACATCAAATCAGTCAAGCAAAATAATTACATATCAGTCCCACCCTGAAATTCAACTGTCCATATTTCAAGTTAAAGCTCTGCTATAAGTTTTGCTGATACAGGTATACCTCGATATAACGTAACTGTCACTTTTTACTTACATCGTCGATATCTCACAAATAATAATTCAATTATTCAAATTGGAATGACCAAAAGATGAAGTTTTGCCTCATATCTCTGATGGTTTTATTACTTTGCTTGATTTAATGATTGTTAACTAGAAATCAGCGCTGGAAGTCAAAAGTGACAGTTGCGTTTTATCGAAGTATACCTGTATAACAAAACATGCAAGTTGCATTACAACTGATTTTAACTTGAAAAAAGTATCAATAAATTTACTATAATTTTTCAAATATTTGCGATTATAGGCAGTATATTGATCAAATGTTTCAATTTCTACAATGTAATGTTTCTGCTAATAAAACATGAACATTACCAAGCAACTAATGAGGATTCCCTCGTTAAAAATTTTAAATTTAGAATATTCTCACGTCATCATTTTTTTCACCTGACTCCCTCAACACAACCCATGTTTTGAAACAACAGCAAAACATTGCATCGTGCAGACTAACTTGATACGGACAAAAAAAAATCAACCAGCTATTCGAGACAGAGAAAGTTTAACGTGGCACACCAGAGTTAAGCAACAGCCCTGCACCAACTGTACGACACGGCCAAAGAGTGTGTTTATTTATTAAAAAGTTACCCCTGCATGGTAATGTGTACACATTTTTTTTCCACCGCTTCCTCAACTTTGGCAACATCCCGAGCTCGAACGAAAATCTCAGCAAAGTCGAGTTTTATGGCCCCTACAAATGTCGTATATTTCTGCCCGTATCCTCCAACTTTTCGAAAGAACCATTTCATTCGCTAAATCCATGTAGGTATCTACCCAACATCCTCCGTCCATCCTCCTCTCTGCTGTAAGTGAACGGCAAAGGCCAACCAGGTTACGTTTCAGGCTGCAGGTTAAAACTAAAACGAGTGGCTTATTAAAAAAATTCGCTCCAAATTGCCTAATTGAATTAAAAAGGTGTGCTCATCGCTTGATGGAAACTTTAGTAGTTAAACGGAACTTCATCGCTTGGATTCATTACCTGTTTTTTTTATCTACTTCTCAAACAGGTCTTTCCACTGGCGCTTCAATAATTCCGCGGAAATCCTGGAAGTTGACTCGCACCGCTACTCGAACCATGGTAACTTCAGTGTACTGCTCTACACTCCCGTTGCGGTACAGGTAAGTCACCGAGTCAAATATCAGTGATTCATGGTTTCATTTGTACTCGAATTTATTTATTTTTTCTGTTTTAGGGTTTTTGATCTTATTTCCGTCCTACTAAGCACAACCCGCGCTTTACCTCTCGTTTCTGAACGAGTTTAAACAAAAAATGGAATATTTCTGTCAAAGATTACTTCTAAATTTATTCACCTTTGCATACGTATCGTTGGATTTGATAAAAAGTCAGAAAATGTTGAAAAGTTGTTTAAAATCTAATACTGCTTCTTGATTCAAAATTCGTTCTACGAGTTTCAATTCCGTCCTAACGCATTGAAACCCCAAGCAACATTGCAAGTTTTATCGTGGTTTTATAGCATTCTACTAGTCTAAATCATGGTCTACAGAACCCTCATAAAACCCAAATTGTTACTTGGGACGGCATTAGACTTTCATCGTCCTACATATAAACGTAGAAAAAAGGGATTCGCTAGGAGCGCTTCTTTTGTTTTGAGAACAATGAACTTAAATATTCATACAATGCGCTCTAATAGGATTTATATTGTAGCTAATGAGCTAACGCATCGGAACAAATCTATTATTGCTTTGTGCACGGTGAAATCATTGATATTATTGATCTTTTCTGATCGATAGAACGGAAATGGGCGATTACGACGAAGTAGTGCTCTACCCTACTCGTTTTGCGTTTTTAATACCAATCATACGAAAACTCTCATCACATGGGGAAGAAAGTACGCTAAATAGTTTTCCTTAATTTTGACAATTCAATCATAGCGTTGTAAATGATAAGTTGAATTTGTACTATACTATTAACAAATATCCGATTAATCCCCACCAGTGAATCCTAACACATAAAGCAACAAATGATAAAGACAAGGCACTTGCTAATACTACCACGATAAACTCTCTCTGTAATATAGCTTGATCGGAGTTGTAGAAGGATAATGATATATTGCTAGCTTGCTTTGTTGCAATACAGACTTCTCTAACGTTTGTGAATTGCACAAGTATTAGTGCAGAACTTTGGGTAAATTCAAAGGTTTTCTTGCACTATTACTTATAATTTATCCAAAGTTCTGCACAAATACTTGTGCAATTTTACAAACGGCAGAGAAGTCTATACATGGTTGAGAACATAGCTTGATCGGATTCGAGAAAATACATAACATAAAAATTCCAACTAACACACGTGTGGGGGTACCTGGGGTAACATGCACCGTTGGGGCAAGATGCACTTCATTCGCCTAAAATACATTTTTACAGCAAAGTAGTTACCCTATAAGTTAAATCTATGTTTGCTTTGGACACCATATCAATTTGGCAGCTTTATGTTATCAGATAATGTAAATAAAAACAAAAACCAGTTTGCATTGGATAGAGTGTAATTGTGTCCTCCGCATTCTTAGCGATTCAAAACATTATTAAGCTTCGGTGAAAGATATTACCCATTTGACTGAGGTGAGAGCTACAGCTTTCTGATAAAATACCGGTAAGTTTTAATAGGTGTTTCTACTTTATGATCCAAACATTTTCTTTATACATTGGGGGCAAATGCACTCCTTAGGTGGGGCAAAATGATCCTTTCGTAAACAAGCTTTGTTTACTTTTTATTCTTTCTTCAGAAATGGTCCGCAACATTCCGAAGTCTATAAAGCGGTCATGGACCTTTGAACAACCACGATCAAACCTGGAGGCAGTCGAAAACTAAGACGTTCTTCTGCCTCAACTGGTCTGAAGACGGCAAGGAACCCCATTGTTGAAGTACATTTTGCCTCATCATTGTGATGCATCTTGCCCCTTTGTCGCAGTGGATAAAACCCCAGTATGGATGCATTTTGCTCCGATTAGTGGGATTTTCAGATTATTTTTATTAATTTCTAAAATCACTTTTCATGGTATTTTTGCAAAGTTTTCATGTATGTTACGAATATAAACAACTAAATAATGCTTAACCGTTATGTGATCGACAAAAAAACACCTTTAGGAGCTCGCAAGGGTACCCGGGTACCCACAAATTGAAAAACTTGATACTGCGGCCAACTTTGACCGATTTTGAATCTTTTAGCACCATTGATTGGATGAATCCAATGATGCCAAAAGATTCAAAATCGGTCAAAATTGGCCGCAGTAGCAAGTATTTTAATTTGTAGGTACCCGGGCACCCTTGTCAAGCTCCTAAAGGTGTTTTTTTGTTGATTCTGAAGAAACTTATCCTCTTTCTGGACATTGCCAACAATGTCCATCCGGAATCGTCTGGTTCCCGGAAATCTGGATTTCCTATATAATGTTCCAGATCTAAGCATTTGCTTACCACTTTCGCTAGAATTTCGAAGGAATCGATTTCAAAGTATCAGAAACTCCTTCAAGAAGCAATTTCAACTTACTTGAGGACCAGTTTAAGGTTTTTCCAAGGAACGGCCATTCCGGCGCAGGTTCTCATAGGGCCACTAGTGGCCATAGAAGTATTTGGGAAGAAACCCCTGCAATATAGGTATCAACATTCATGAATTTACAGCAGGGGACTGTTTATCATAATTTTGTGATCATCCGATGGATTGTCCCCGGGACGGCCATTCCGGAGTAGGTTCCCGTAGGTCCTCTAGTGACCATAGAAGTATTTGAGAAGGAACCCCTATAATATGGGTATCGTAATTCATGAATTTACAGCAGGAGACTGTTTATCGTAATTTTGTGATCATCCGATGGATTGTACCCAGAACGGCCATTCTGGAGCAGGTTCCCGTAGGGCCTCTAGTGGTCATAGAAGTGTTTGGCAAGAAACCCCAAGCATTTCAATTTTGTGGGTACCCGGGTACCCTTGTTGAGCTCCTAAAGGGTAAAAAATTTCACAAAACCCCCCCTTCGAAGCCCCTTGCTGCAATTTTAAATATTTCTTCAATTTTAACTGGAAATCACCTTGATTTCCGTAGCTGGTGCATTTTACCCAAGGAACCCCTATCATCTCCGGCTTTCTTCGTGAAGCAGCTTGCCAACAATTTGGACGTTTCTTTCTACCGACCCGAGCGAGCTTTATTGACACAGACCGTTTGTCATGAAAACAAGGGAAGAAGATTATATCATCAATCAAGCTGAAAATTGCATTAGGTCCTAAGTAACATCGATCGATTCTCTTCGTCGACTTTCTCTTTAGTTAATAACTTGAGCACATAGCCGTTTGTAGTATTAGATGCTAGATAAACACTTCTTTTATCAATCTGTGTGCTGAAAATACATAGGAATATCATTACATGGCCGTGGGAAGCAAAGAGAAAGTCGACGAAGAGAATCGGTCAATGTTACTTAGGACCAAATGCAATGTTCAGCTTGAAATGTTTTCCATTGCTGACATAGCGTTATTATTCAGATCGTTGATCGCTTGTTATTTTGCCATTTTGAGATATTTTTAGTCCTTTATCCCCACATTGGCCACTACCGCCTTTTTTTTTGCTAATTACTACAGGAAAGGTAGCTGTGCTGTGATGCTGTTTTAAAGTGAACGTGACGCATTTTGAACATTGTTTACAAACACGTTCCTAAACGGTAACCGCAAAGTACTCAATAATGACTACAAAATAAGCATTTTCGAGGGAAACTGGGACTACCCATGAAACGAGTAAAATTGCACCCATTTATGAGTAATTACAACTACAAAAACAAGTAGTAAGTATTCATTTTTGAATAACAAATACTCTTAAAGGGGTAATATTTTTACTCATTTAATGGGTAGTCCCAGTCTCCCTCGAAAATGCTTACTTTGTAGTCATTATTGGGAACTTTGCGGTTACCGTGCCACGCGATTTTTTTTTTCCGAAGTGCCATCTACCAGCAAAATTTTGAAGCTTGCGAGCTTTAGTTGAGCTCGTGGTGAAATGTTGCAAACATTTTGGCGCATTGCTATCGCCTGGATTCTACCGTTGTATTGTACTTTCGCCGTCAAGCTTACCTGCTCTGTTGTTGCATACTACTCTAGGCGCATTACTTTAAACTGTGTAGTAGCGCTGCTTTGGCAATCGCATCAAATCCTGAGAATTACTTCAATCCTGAAAATGACTTCTACTTGCCACTCCTGTGCTACTGATGTCATTGACGATTCCATTTCATCAGCGGCTTCTGCAAGGCAGGAATTTCACCTCAAATGCGTCAATATCACTTCAGCTGTTAACGATGAGATGAAAATGAACTCGCAATTGTTCTGGATGTGCAGGTCGTGTACCAAATTAATGGATGACATTCGTATCCGCAATTCCATTCGAGGCGCTTATGAGGCTGGACAAGAACATGTCCTTGGTGATCATAATGAGATCGTTCAAAGAATTAAGTCGGAAATCATGAATGAACTCAAAAGTGAACTTCGTCTGAACTTCACCGCTTTGATCAATTCCAGTACACTTACACCAAAATCATCAACTCGTAATACGAATGACGCTGGGTCTTTGCGAAGCCGACGATTGTTCCGTAAACCTGAAGCTGCTGAACGCCGTTAATATCTCCATCTATCGGCACTTTTGCTGTACCACCTCCAAGGCAGAAGTTTTGGCTCTACCTTTCGCGTATCTCTCGTGACGTCACAGTGGAGCAAGTACGTGCGATGCAGAGGATAGGAATAAATGACGTTGAGACATTCAGACTAGTGGTCAATGGTAAGAATGTCAGCAGTCTGTCATTCATTTCGTTCAAACTCGGTATGAGTCCTGAGCTGAAAGCAAAGGCTCTTCCGACTGCAACGTGGCCAAAGGGAATACTATTCCGTGAGTTCAAGGACAACAGGAATGTTACAAATTTTTGGAACCCTTCTCGAACGCCAAATGCCAATTTATCCCCCAGCATGGAATCACCCAATTACTCGTATCACCAAGACAATGCCATGACATAATAAGTGACAAATCCCATCTATGCACAGAGCTCATCAACCAACCTGTTCCTGAATGGCCGGTTTCGTCATTGCCATCGTCTTTGACACATGTTTCACTTGTCTCTACCGAACTTCATCCAAAATCTTT